TGGGTATAAAATTACAAAAGAAAATGTTTTTATCCTTTGATATTTTTGGATATTTTGAAGAATAATGTCATTTTTCGATGTTTCTTTTTTTAAATGTCAATTTTGGCAGGTTAAGGAAATCACGTGACCTATTTTGTAGACGCCATTTGACATCATTTTTTAAGCAAAATCTACTGCCATAATCAAATTTCACATAAAACGATAAATAAAAAAGTTTCCCATTTGATGCGGACTTTATCGGTGACACTGTATATTTACACACATACACATATATATCTACAAACATAAATTCACAATGAGTTGTTTGTGAGGTTGTCATTCAAGAATTCTTGATAACTATAATAGCACTTATCTATTGAAATGTTTTTTATGATTGCCTGAAATTTTATGTCGCTTCTAATTCCTTTAACTTCAGTTGGTAACTTGTTGAAGCAAGTAATGGCATTGTACTGAGGAGACTTCTTAAAAAGTGTCATTTTATTTTGGGGAATTCTAAGAAGGTCACCATTACGTGTATTATAGTAATGCTCGTAGGAGTTTTTTTGTCTGAATAGGTGTAGGTTTAATCTGGCAAACATTATGGATTTGAAGATGAAAATGGAAGGAGCTGTAAGAATTTTCTTCTCTATGATGACCAATGACCAGTGACCAATCGCGTGCCGTTGCACAACCGTGGTGGATTTAAATTACAAATCAATCCAACCTTCAGTTGTTAATTATGCGGTGGAATACCTGATGAATCCAATGAGTTCAAAAACTCTGTTGGATAATTCACAGTTTTGGTGGTATCGTGTACTGCATCTACGCTCGACGGATAATTAATGATAGTCGCCAAAAACAATGTAAGCAGTGAGAGAATTCTTATCGTGTGAGAGAGACAGGAGACAGGCTTGGTTTTCATCCCTACTCCATGCTGTTTACTGAGTGAGAATTGACACCGTAGACGCCTGGCGGGAATAACTCATCTATGATCAGGAAGCTTGTGAAAGAATGGTAAAAACTGAGGGTTATGTGTATTTTTGCTACATCATAAAAAAATTGTCCAAAAAATAAAAGCAAATGTTTGGTGTGGAACACCCTCATCACTTAGGGGCATGAAAAATAGATTGAAACTTTTCTCAGATCTACCTAATATACATATGAAGTTTCATGAAAATCGCTTGGGCCGCTTCCAAGAAGTGACATGAGAATTTTATATTATATTAGATTATAGTTTAGAGTTTGATTTTACTCAACTGTCGGTCAACTCATCACATACTTCTCATCAATGTATTGGTATTGAAATTATAATTTATGTTACTATTCCTCTCATTAATTTTGATGAACTTCGACAAAAACCCAATTACCCACACATATTGTCAAACTGCATAATTAGCACCGTACCATTCGTCCTGACAATTGAACAAGAAGGAAACCATTGCCGAGGGTATTACCGCCCATTGTTCATGCGACGATTCTCTGAATCATTAATGGAGCCGCTACATGATGCAGATATTCATGAATACAGATGAGTTCGTCAAGTAGTTGAAGCGAAAACCTGTCTCTGAGGACAAATGCAATGGGATTCTCGTACGGTGGGAGATGAACACTCATTCATTAATAGATATGATGGTTGAATGAAAGCTTCTGACGCAATAGGCTTGTGAATGAGCGAAGGTGTATTCACATGCAGCTAGGGTGAAAATGGACAAAAGATTACTCGCAAGAAGAACTAAATTATATTTCACTTGAATTCTGAATATTTACCAACTTAGTTCATTCATTAATAAAGGAACTACTCGTTCAAAGTGGAAGTGAAACTTCGTTGAACTGTCTCAATGATGAAGCTGAAGCACATCGTCTTCATGTTACCAGTTCACTACTTACTTGAGATATTGTTGTAATATCTGTATCTGTATAGTAGGGAGGGAGAGTGTAGGCCCACAGCACTTAGGACACATGTGACCCATTGTACGTCCTCTCAAGGAAATGTCCTCCTAGGTCACCGCCCATCCTGTCCTTTCCAGGAAGGTAGACAGGTCACTAGGAGACACCTCCTTTATATCGGCCGGCGTAGGCCAAGACTCGCCAAACACACACTCTCGTATTGACAATAACATGCCTGACAGTTTCATCTTCCTGTTCACACATCCTGCATAGAGGTGTGTCCACTAGCCCCATAATATGGAGGTGTTTCCTTA